AACTTGGCTCCACCAGCCGGCCCTGTAGCTCATACAATTGTTTGAGATGAGCTGGCAGCCTGCCAAAAACTGGAGTAAATCAGCACTGTCAGTCAGCAACAACAGCCAGCAAGAGAGGGAGGGGGAGGAGGGCAAGAAGAGCATGTATGTAAGGAGGGAGGGGGGGTTGAGAAGTTTAGTGTGTTTGTGTATGTGATAGAAATACAGATAGTGAAGGAGTGCAGAAAAACAGGGACAATAAGGGAGAAAAAAAAGAAGTGAAGGAGAACCAGGGAAGTGGGGGATGGGAAACCAGAGAGAGAAAGAAAAGGAGAAAGAGAGGGAGGGAGCGCCCTGGTGCTCTGTTGTGAAACATGAGCTCGGAAAAACTGCCCTGAGTTTAACACTCTACCCAATGTTTTTGCAGTTGTTACTGTTTGGAGGTCCATTGCGTGAGCCGACACACGCACTGAAACCTTCGCACACACACACACACACAATTGTCCCAGAGCCCCACCCCTGGTGCGCTGGTTGTTTTTCTTCCTCAGCCTCATCCCTCTCCCTACACTACTGTTATCAAGGTGAGGTGTGCTAACAAGACAGGCTGCCTGCCTAACATCTCTGGCGCCCTGCCAACCTGCTGGGTAAAAAAAAAAAACACTGAACTGGGCCGGTTCTGTAGCTCGGAGGCTTTATCCAGCCCTTTATGCGTGCCTGCTTGCAAAGACAGTGCGTCTGGAAACTGGGCATCAGGCGAGCTCTTCTCTCATTACTGAACACCACAGGCAGTGCCAGCGCAGAGGGCTCCTCGTGTGTCCTCAGGAAACCACAGTGACTGCTTATTTTTATCTAGCTACAGGAACCTTTTTCCTGCCAATTAGTTCCCAACAATGACCCCACTTGTTTATGTACTGTCTATTGAGTGACACCCCCCATCATAATTAGGCTGGGCTTGTGTCTTTCTCAGCTACATGCCAAGTGCATGGATTTTCACACGTGGGGAGAGACAGCTGCCTGCTGCGTGCAGGCTTATAGGGTGTATCTTTTAATTGGGTCCAAATGCTGGTGGACAAACTATGAAGATTTTGAAAAAGTGATAAAGTTAGAAAATGTAGAGGGGAGAACAATAACCAGCAGGAGACAGAGAGGACAAGTTCAGCAGGTTCATGTGCTGTGCTTGGAGGATTTAAATCCCTCCCCTTGACCACAGGATACTGCTAGCTCTAGTGTTTGTGAGTCAGAGATTTCAGTTCTGTGCACGCATGTGTGTGTATGTGTGTGTATGTGTGTGTGTGTGTGTGTGTGTGTGTGTGACACAGCTGTGAGGCCGCGAGTGACTGCTGCTCAACAAAGCACTGCGCTCTGCTGGGTTGCTCTTGGTAAACAAAAGGAACTCACAGTGCTGTGTAGTGATTGCCCAACCTCTCCTTTAACAGGGAAAGTAAAGAAAAGAGCCGGTCGAGCACAGCAGATTAAAGGAGAAGTTAGAAACGGAGCATAAGCAGGGAGTTTTAAAAGTGAGCGAGTGACCCAGTTGCAATAGCAAAAAAGAGAACTTTTTATTTAATTATCAGCTACCAAGTTACAGATCAATTTCTGCACGCTCTCCTCTCAGCTGTGTTAGGGTGGTCGAGGAGAGCAGAGGAGGGTGGAGGAGGGGGGGTTAGGGATCAGGTCTTTGCCAGGGGAGGTCAGCTGTGTTCAGTCACAGCAGAGAGAAGGCGGGTGGGGGTTGGTTGCTGAGTTGCTGCGCCCACGGCATGCCCAGCTGAACCCCGATCAGCCCTTCTCCCCCTGCACAGCGACATGCAACACTGTTGGCTTAGCTGCTTATTCCCATGACAACTGCCCGCCTGAGCACCAGATGTGTGCAAAGAGGGGAGTAAGAAGAATGGAAAGTGTTCAAACATTTCTATGGCTGAGGCTGTGACGTTCCCCAGCCTTGACTGAGACAAGTAGGAGTTAAGTTTGGTGTCAGATGTTTTCTCCTCATGTATTTGCAGATTTATAACATTTCCCAAATGCACAGTAAAGTCAGTGAGGCCACCAGAAATGCAGTTTTTCATTTGACATGAAGTGTTTATGTAGACATTGGTATCTGCAAAGTAACTTTCAACAAAGAAAAAAAACTATAGCCTAAAACTATTGCCATTTTATTCAAAGTAAAGTTTAGTACTTGCAGCGTTTTGGTGCTGTCAGCAATGAAAGAGAAGGGTTAGGTAGTGTGTTTGGGGTGAGGGCTGTTGGGGAAGTATGGGTGGCGGGAGTGGCTGTGGTGATGGTGGCTCAGACATGTCAGATATTATCTTCGTTGCTTAACTATGTGACAGACATCAGATGCAGCTCAAACACGTGAAAAGAACATAAACAAAAAGAAATGAAACAAAACCACCATCAAACGCAACAAGACTATACTATACTACTATACTATACTTTTTATACCTCTTTATTTTTCTACACTGTTTTTTGTAAGCTGCTGGAAATTCAATTTCCTTGCGGGAGTCATCCCAAAAGGATCAATAAAGAGAAGTCTAAGTCTAAGACTAGTGTCAACCATGCCCATGCCCTGGCTGTACTTGGAGACAGCTAAATGCTAATGCCAGTGTTATAATAATAATTAGCAGGGGTTAATGTTTACTATGTTCTTCTGTCTTAGTTCAGGATGTAGTTCAGGCATGCTAACATTTGCTAATTAGCACTGAACAAATAGCACACAGCTGAGGTTGATGGGAATGTTATTACCTTTGCAATATTATGGTTGTAAGTATCCGTTAAATTAAAACTTGACCTTGTGAAGCCATTAGATCAGAGGATCACAAAATATATTACAACTGATCCTGAGAGGGGCATGTATGTCTCTACCAAATTTCAAAGCACAAAATGTAATGGCAATCCATAAATTCTGTCAAACTTCTTGTATCTCTTATTTTGGACAGGAACCCCTGATATGTACATCACTTCCAGTTAGAGCTGCACCTTTAAATGTGATAAACAAGCTTCCTCACTGATGTAACAGAAGCTAAACCCAATTCATTTAGTGCTACTTACGCAAATTAAGAGTCATAAACTCATTAATGTAATTTCCGACTCATTAAAATTAACTCCAGCTCCTTTCCTCAAACCATGCCCACATTAAATTATAGCTCAATGAAAAGGGCGAGCTCACAGGTGATAATTTAGTAATTGCCCGTGTGTGCTGTAGTGAGGAGCCACTTGAAGAGGTCTCAAGGCTTGGGGGGAGAATCTGCGGCTGGTGGTGTGGAGCAGGTGCTGAGGTGCCTGTCAACGCTAACTTGCTGTTATTCTCTCTCACGCAGCTACTTTATCTACTTGGTGACATGACGCACCACTTTAGCACTTTAGCAGGAGGGACAAATTGAAGCTGCGGTTGAATTTGTTGCACTCTGCGACTTTAGCTCAAGCAGAAACTCCTCTTCAGTCTGCCACAGAGCCTAGCAAGTAGGAGTTAACAGCGTAGGCTGCAGTGTTTTGATTGGCTTTGCAGACATAAACAAGAGCCGTACTTGTTGCGTGACCCTTGGGCCTGACCCCAGAGATAGACGCTTCTCTAATGGGTGTCTCTTTCAGCTGGCGGCCAGGCCAGGGGAACAGAGGAGCCATTGTTTGGGCCAGGGAAAGCCAATGCTCTCCCCATTAAAGTGCTGAGCCTAGAGGAGAGGCTTATAGGAGCCATGAAGCCGAGGTAAACAGCAAAGGAGGCAGGGGACATCCTTGGCACACTCCTGCCTTAAGGCTCAAATTTAGGATAATTTCTTAAAAATGCAAGCAACCCCCTCTGCAGAGATGACGCTAGGTCCTCGAGTCACATGATCTTAATATATTATGACAGTGGTATATCTAGCACTGTTAATTAGCTCCTATTAAGGCTTGAAATTCCTTGAACACTTAAAACACCTAAGAAAGGATACGGAGGGGGGCACTGAACAGTTGTGCACGCTAAACCAACCGTGACTTGGGTTGAAGCTGTTGTTCTGTTTCAACCACATCCTCTGACACACATCATTGTATGCATGCGTTTGTGACGGAGGGGCCGCAGACAAGGGACTTTTTTTGCTTCAACTGGCCAAACAGGTGAGTCAGGTGTTGTGGAGCAAATGAAACCGTACCTGGCATGCACAACAATAGAAGTGCCACGCGCCAGCCCTGAGGGATGTGACTGTGACTGTAAGTTGTCTGGTCCGTCGAATAACAACAAGGGCGTGATTGTGAGGGTTGATAGAAAAGTACATAAACATTTGTATTGGATAGAGATTAAAAAAACATCTTCCATAGACATAAATACACTGTTTTAAATACTGAGTGGACTGCACGTTTGCACTTAACACAGACCAGCAACACACTAAACTTTCATGTTTATATGTGTCATGAGGGATCAATCACTACCGTGTCTCGAGGGCATCCATGCTGCAGTGTAACTAATCTGCAGGCTCAGCAGCATTGGCTGTAAGCTTTTAGAAAGTAACAGTAATGCAGTGTGAGGTAACTCTTCTTTACTTATCCAGTTGTCTTGCACCACTTGCTTGTATGTGTGTGTGTAGAGTGCAGACAACAGTTATTAGAGAGGGTTGGAAGCCCCGTTGCGCCCAATAAATGAATGACCTAACAGCGGGAGGGATGTGATGGTCACAGTCTCTGCCAAACGGCTGGCCGGCTGCGAATGCCTGGCTATCCTCAGACACTTGGCTAATCCATCAGTGGCTTACTTTCACAATAGAACTCCTTAAAATAAAAGCTCAGGCTCAAATGAGTGTTAACAGAGCAAAGGAGGGAAACTCATTCTTCTTCTGTAGCTTTTTTTTTGTCAGTTCCAGGTGTAAAACATTTGACTCGTTATAAACCTATAACTAGGATTTTATTTCTGTAAGTTTAATTCCTCACCTATTGTTCCATAGCCATCACTGCAGTGGTATTTCTCTCACACGTTTTCTCCGGTTTCTCACACATTGCCAACTGAGATGCTGTAATGTAATATTGTCATCCAAACATAAACTTGACTCAGCTTGACACCTTCAATAAAATTTTATTGAAAAAAAGTACCAATAAACAACAAGAAATCCAGAAAAAAGATTTGTAGAGCAAAGCTCCATATGTACAGCATATTGCACTACATAACAAATTGTCTTTACTTCCATATTATATCAACGACCAAAAAATATATATAAACACAAAAATGAGTGCACAGTAGAGTCTCGAAAACACACAGTCAATGTTTACAAAAATGCTACATTTTCGCTGGGTCTCATTTCTTGGTATAACAGAGAGTGTGTGATAATCAAGACTTTGTTGAAACTGAGCAGTTAAAGGCATATTCCAGGGTTTTACAAATACATGTACACTATATCTGTTCTGTAAAGAAGGGCAAATATTTCATTGCTATCAGCTCATTAGCCAAATTAAACACAACAATGAATTATTTTGGTTTGCTTGGTTTTGTTTATACACCACGATGAGATGTGCAAGGAATGTTGCAAGTTCATTTTTATATAAAAAAAATGCCCTTGATCTCATGGACTTCAAAAGGATCCTACTCGCATTAAAGATTATTTTACAAGCATGAACTGTCCTTATAAAAGCAGACCCCTTCTCTTAAGAAAATACATTTTAAAAAGTTAAGAAAAACCATGAAGAAGAAATGTTATCGTTAAAAAAAAAATCAAAACCTTCCTTGAAAAACTTCAAATTTATATAAAGTGGACTACAAAATTCAAGACACTGACGGTTTCCATAAAATACATGTCCCACTCTAGGGATTCTCCACACTCACATATAATGTAATGAGTGCAGCTTGGGAACCTCATTCTAACAAAAATTATACAGGGCACCACGGTGGCTTGTTTCCCTTTCCAATAAATCAAACAGGCCATTAATCCGAGCCTACTTGGTCAATGCACAGATATATACGTCTGACACATGGCAAGATTAGCCCAAGAGAACAATCCAGAGTATATACTATACATTAACACACAACAGTTAAGGGACCCATGGGATCTACAGAAACAAAGTACTTTCCAGTGCATATTGATTACAACAAAATGATCAAGATTAAAGAATTGAATGCATAAACTAACGCCCTGTGACTCGAGAAGAGTATTTTCTGTGTGTTTTGAAGCATTTCTAATACCATATGTATCGTTAGAAATGGGTGGGATGGGTGATGACTCATTAATTAAAAAGCAAAGGTCATATCCTGTTGAAAGGTTAAACTGCTTCGAAGCTGCTGCTTTTCTAAACCATGTATTGTGAATCTACCCATGATGACTGGTGAAAGATAATGAAAAAGGTCTGAATTGGTTGGGCCCATTCCTGAAAAATCACAAGCTTTTAAGTGAAATACTCTACCCAGAATCTATTTTTTTGAGGATCAAACACATGTAGGCTTCAAAGTTGAGGTTTGTAGTTTTTCTGTTTCATGAAGAGCTGCAGCTGTGGTCATTGTGAATTTATGTCAGTTATAATGTCGTCTAATAGTAATATTTTGGATATATGGATGAATACACTACTTCCCCTGCACAAAATTGTCCCCATCAAAGTTGTGAAGCTCTGACAGATGACCACGTGGAACCAACATTGATGTTCAACTTAGCATGTATGCATTTATTCAAACTGACCATAGCTGTTGTTCTTCATAAAGGGTCTAATTTCTTACAGCCTGCGGGAGATAGACAAGAATTAGAATCTGGGTTGAGAATCACATGAAGCAAACCAACCTGCTCTGCACAGAGTCAAACAACTGAAGTCCAAGACTAAAACAAAAACAGGAAAATAAGAAGTAATTGCACACACAAGTGTATACAGTAGAAATGGGCAAATACAAAAATAAATAAGTCGGTAAAAAATAAATTACAAAGAAAAATGAACCGATGAACAATACCCATGTAATAAAGGAGCAGCACAAAGAGGACACCAGGAGTCGATGGTGAGACGGGGTGCTACAGGGACTGGCTCAGCGTTCAGGATCTGCAGGAAACCACAACCACATTCAGTGCACCTCACACGCCTACTACTACATGCTCAGTAGCCCCCATCACCACCACAGTCAGCAAGTGAGCCTCAGTTTCCTCCGTCAACTGTACCTTTATGTGTGTGCTGAGAAAGGGGATTTTTTTTTTTTACTGAAATGACAATAAGAGACTTGACAAATAGGTTTTGTCATAAAACACTGCTCTTCTTCTAACCATGTAACAGATTCTCAAGGTTACCAGTAGCCCACACAGTCCGTCCCTGAGACATCTTGAAGAAAATGAGAGGAAACCCTAATTATGCAGTGATAAACTTGACACATTGTAAGGAGCAAGTAATTACAGACCCCTGATATGTACTGCTCCTTGGGTCCAAAAGTTGGCCTGGGTTCAGCGATGGAAAACATAACAAACAGCATCGTCAACAGTGTCTTTAAACATATTCATATTTCAACAATAATTACAGTCATTTTCACTTTTGTCTTTTTGTCATTTGTCTGCTGAGTCAGTGGTGCTTATATGTACTACAAATGTCCCAAATCTGGATCTGAGCACCAGAGACAACACAAGATCAGAATATAAAATGATGTAAAACCCCATAAAGGAAGCCTGAGAAGATCTGTTTCACAGATTGATTATGCAGTATCGTTTGGTGTTCAAAACACACGGGCTGTGAAAAACAAACCAGGACAGAAACCTTTCAATGGAGGCATGTTGCTCTAACTGTCTACTGAAACACTGGTACGTGAAATTTCCAGAACCCAAATCCAATCCAGATTCCAGGCTGCGTTCAGTCGGGTCTCAACATTGATTATTTGTCTTGGACATAAGAGTGAATACATCCGAAATGTTGTGGCAAGAAAACAAGTTAGAACTGAAAACCTTCATACAAGACAGAGGTTAACTTGGTAACTCTCTGAGCTCTTGTAGGGTGTTTGTCTAGTGCAAAAACAGTGGATCCACAGTTCCACTTCAAGGGCATGGAGGTCTGAAAACAATCACATGAAACGAACACATCTAAAACACAGGGAGAACTTAAACTGAAGAAAGAGTATCTGGTGTTCTCACTAAAACTGAAATTTAAATCATTACGGTAGACTTAGCCAAATAGTTTTCCTAGGTGTTTATGTGCTTTACTCTAAAGTTAAAATTTAGTGCACAGGTACTTGACCTCCAAAATGCATGCAAAACTCACCATAACAGAACTTAAATCTACACATCTTTTCATGCATCTTTTTAGGTTTCTTTCCCAGCCCCTCTTTAGTGTGCTACATGTCAGACAACATCCAGCAATTTAAGAAAATGTTAGTTGAAGTTATCAATCGGCGTAACTTAAAACCATTGACTATTGTGCAATAATATGTGTGTGTGTTGCTCTTACTGATACTGATTACTGATTAATATTCCACTGCTGATTATGTATTTCTTGCTGTTAGGTTGCTTGTTAATATTCTGTGGTTTTGTCAGATAACTGACTTACTTACAGTTAGCTTCTTTTTTTAAACTCCCAATTCCTATTATTGCTGCTAGCACAAACCAGTGCTTGCTTGCAATCTGATCAAATGCTGTTGTACACAGGTTTGCTGGCAGTCACCAGGCTTGTTGAACTTGTTAACCAGTCACCGATGTTCAGTACTGCTAACTCCACCCCATTACTTTACTGAGCCAAACTAAATCAAAATGTTCAAATTGTTTGACATGTAGCACATGACTGAAGAAAGGCTTGCCTTAAAACACAGGTGCATGAAAAGATATTCAGATTACAAGTCAAGGTGTGCAGACTCGATCAAATGATACTGAGGGATCATGTTCAACCTTAATACCATACCAAAGAAAATGAGAGAGAGTGAGAAAACAAAAAAACTCAAAATTAAGAAAAATAAGAAAAGATAAATGATCCATTGAGGTGAGGTGCAAATTGCTTTGTTCTGAGAAGTTGCCTCTTTGGAAATTAGTAAATCAACTAGGGAAACTTCAGAAAAGAAAACCTCAAACCATATTTCCTCTCATTTCCTAACCATCTCATGTTGCCTGTCAAAATTGCCCAATACTCATTCTGGCAGAATACATTGAATAAGGCATTCCCAGGGTGTGTGGAGGTCATTAAAGATGGATACATGTTGAAGTGCAAAAAATTTAACAAGAACAATGTACTGTACAAAACTACTACACCACACGTATACCAAAATATGAACATTGTCCTGTGGATGAATCTCGGAGAATCATGGCATCTTCTTGGAAAGAAAAAAACATAAGACCTTGTATAAAAGTTGGTTGTCTCCGTCCCGCGGTGACTTTTTGTCTCCTTTCTTTTTCCACCCCAAAAACAGACCCGTGTTAGATTTGACAGTGCCATTAGCAGTCCAGTTACTCAGATAGATGAAGAAAAGGGGTATGAGGGGAGGACCCCCTCACCTCCGTCCCGCTCCACCTCTTCCAGCAACGAACCCCCTGTCAAACAGAAGGCTGAGCAGAGCTGCACCCAGGCGCCACCACAGCGGCCCCTGGTTCCTTTGGTTTCGATGATACTGAAACAACAAATAAAGACGAAACAAACGCAGGTTAGTGCACTCTTCTGAAACTAGTGAAACGGTCACTAGTGAAGTTTGTGTTGGCTGTGACGTGTGCTGATTGACAGTGAGCGCAGTGAAGAGGGTCAACTGAGAAGACGGTACGACAAAACCAGACACCGGAACAATCCTGATATTTTCACAACAGTCTGCTTCTGTCCCCAGCAACACTTATTAAAGAGAGGCCTCCCTTTGTGTGCGGGATCCCTGCACAATCCGGGTTTCCCAACAGACACTCTACAAGCTACAAACACATTCATCATACAACCACATTTTTTCCTAATCTTTCTGGCAGAGACTAGCAGCAAGTGGCTCAGGAGGAGACTCTCTTCAGGTTTGCGAGCCAATTGGATTGTGTGCGATTAGGGGGATAATGCTATCTCTGCCATTGAGAAGCTGAGATAAGATAATTGCACCAAATGGGATTAGGGAGCGCTTGATGAGAGGCAGGGAGCCTCTGGAAAACACGTATCTGCACACAAGAGAGGTACAGTAGTCCAACAGCTCATCTGCAGACGAAAGGCAGACTCCGCCACGCCTGATAATGCCGTGGCTATTTTCAGCCCGTAAGAGTTGTAAACTGAGAGAGACTTTTTCATGACAACGCACTGTGTACTACATTCTGTTACTGTTTACAAAAACCAAAATATCTAAAGGCCGAGATTAGATATACCATATTTACATGACTGTTAAGGTGGTGTCCAAACATTGACATAGTTACCAGCCACAGAAGTGCCATTGTGATAAGCCTCTGGGTTTCTACACTCTTATCAATTTGTGGTGAACATTGCAGGGTGTTGCATTAGCTTTGCCAGGTTCAAACTAGCATGTGTGTAACTTACCACTCGCTTTTTGTTTAAAAGAAAAATCAAGAGGTAAAGTAAATCTAATCAAAGACTGCTGGGAATCTTTATAAAACCAGTTCTGTTTTCTATAACAATCTTAACTGGGGTTATTCTGATAAGAACATAATAAGAGCATAATGTTTGCTTCATATAAACATAGGCAATATTTACATGCAGCACAGGAGCTGACAGCCAAGGTGGCTTGACTTAATAAACACTGGCATGTCTTAAGTCTTTTAAATCTAAATTATATGAGAGACTGCAGTCGGTTACAACTAGAGTTTTAATGTTAGATAGTAAAAGCTGCGAGTGATTTGAGTGAACTGAGGGATTTATTACGCAACAAAGCTTGAGTATTAACTTCAAGCTACATGAGAAGCAATTCATCTTTATAAACAGAAACAGAATGTCCCTGTGACAGTGACCTTTTGCCCTCCACTCTACCAAGTTCGGAGACAAACAGGGAGAAAGAGAGAATGAGGAAAAAAGGTATGCACAGGCGTGTCGCAACTTAGTCATGAGTCACGCCACCAACTGTCAAAATGAGGCACGGGCTCTAAATTTAGCCAGCGATAGAGCGGCAGAGTCTGGCCAGATGCTCAGTGTCGTCACTCTGACACCAGCCTGATGTGCTTTATCAGTGTCCCATGCGGGCTGTCGGTCCAGCCAGCTGCTCAGAAGCGCTTGCCTTATCTCTTAAGCAAACAGGCCGGCCTCAATAGCAAGAACCACTGGATTAGTTACATCAGGGAGGGGACAAGGAGCCAAGGACAAATACAAACAAAGAGCAGTGGTTTTAGATAATAGAGAGCAGCACAAATGGACATCACCATGAACAACAATCATCACAGAACAATAAAAGTAAAAGTAAATATCCAAAACCACCTTTGTGTGTTTTTATTTCAACTCCACTCCACCCCCTCTACAAGTGCTGAAAGGAGAGTGCCACAAACACTGGGTGCGTGCAGACCCATACACACACACACACACACACACGTAGGCGATATTCAACCCTGCTTTCAACACCTCCTATCGAAAGCACCAGGAGTCGTCTCTCTTAAAAAAACATGGGGATGAAACCTAACTCTGCTCCTTGCCCTGTGCGGGCCGGAGCAGTCTTCCTGCCATTGTGGCTGTCATTATTGCCGTGTCTCAAATGGCGGGCCGGCTAATGTCAGCCATCCTCTGGGGACCTCGCCGTCCCCTCCAGCCCTCTCTGACTGAGGAGCAATTTATCTGTCAGCATCCACCAGCACTCCTCTGCTACCTAATCCCTCTTTTTCGCCAGGGGCCACGGGCTCCCATGGAGAACACTCACAGCCACATTACTCCCAAATCCATCAAGGAGGTGACAGTCAAAGGCACTTGGATGGCTCAGGGACAAGTGTCTGCACTGAATGACTGCAATCACCTACTGACAGGAGCGGAGAGGAATGAAAACTGACTAGCAGTACCACTATTATGGAGTGAGAGTTTTCACACTGACTGTCAGAACATGTGATAGTTAGAGGTGAGAGACAGCCAAAAGCAGAAAAACAAGTATGGGTGTATTCATGCATGAGCCTGTACACACGCTTACACAATGCAATTAATTACACAACCAAAGCTAGAAATAGCAATTACAGAGACTTCAGTGACATCGAGCAGCCAAAGCCACACATCAGTGTTTGGGCAAAAAAAAACTTGAAAGTTGAATGACAAGTGTCAACAGCAGCCATACTGCTCTCTTTGCAAGTTAACATCAGATGCAAGCAAAAGCCTTATTCTCTTTATCGCTCGCTATCATTCACAGTCAAGTGTGTCTGTGTCAGTTGGAGCTTCAGGATATGACTTCACAGGGACGTTCTCACTCTGACTGTCCTCTGTTGTTTACTCAACCAGCAAAAAAAGGAGCACAAGCCACTTCCTCGTCCCCTGACCCAGGCCTGCCTTCGTTGTGCGTCAGTAGATCCCACACATCACAGCAACCCTCCTGCCTCACTGTCTGACTGTCTGGTTGTCTGCCTCGCATTTGCCAGTGTCACAATACATGAGTCATGCTGAGCCGCAGGGGTATAAATAACTTGATAAGCGCATGAGAAAATCAGAAACTGTCTCAGACTTCACACAGAATGAATTAAACAAAATAACTATATCATTTCCTCCCATTTCCCAAAAGGGAGGTTTTAAGACAACTGAAGATGGTTGTTACTTGATCATTTGAGACTCATTTCCAAACCTCCTTCACTCGCTTGTACCATCATTATGGATCCCACCCCCCCCCCTTCTCTATGGCTGTGTAGACCTCTTATTTGGGTGTCTCCTGTGGCCGAGGGAAGGGGCTGACTGGAGCCTCCCTGGAAGCACAGCTGTCCCCCTCGGGGCTCATGTGCTGAGCTTCGTGTTACAACATGTTTACCTACTCCCGCCACTTCTGCTTTTTCCTGGACCTATCAGTATGTGTGTGTTTGAGTGAAAAAAAAAAAAGTTTGCTAGACTGTAAGAGACTTACTCTCAGCAGAAAATCTCTCTTGAGGGTTTATGTATATTCTTGATGTTGCAGCCAATGAAATAACACGGTTGTACAACACAAGCAGGGGGGACAGTGTCACCCTGACCACAGTGTGTTGTTTGAGGTCAGGCATCCTCCATGCCACTTGCCTCCACAGAACACTGAGGAAACAGGAGAAAGAGAGAGAGAGAGAGAAAGAGAGAGAGAGAGAGAAATAAACAGGAAGAGGAGGTAGGGGGAGGGCCTGGGGTTGGTGGTGTTGGGGGAAGGGCAGTCCTGGTTCAGCAATGTCTATGGCTTGAGGGTAGAAAGGGCGGGGGGTGAAATGCTGGACTCCGTAAGTTCTGCATGTGCAGAGGCTCTCCAAAAAAAATATGGAGCAAACACAATAAAAGAGAGCAAACTTTTCTCCCCACCATAAATCAACGTGGGAGCTAAATATGAATAAAGCCTGAGTGGATGAATGGTGTTGTTAATGTGTGGAGGGCACTTTTTTCTGCCTTGACTTTAACTCACGCATAAATTAAGACACACACAAACACAACGACGTCTACTTTGATGGCAGTAGAGGTATGCTTAATCTGCAGCATATTGCAAAGGCCAGTGGATATGGACATAAAAAGTAGGGCTACTAAAAATGAAAGGTTTGTGCGTTGTCCATGTACAACCCATATGAGATTCTGACATAATGAGCCACAATGAGATGATTGGACAAAAAGTAACAGTAAGTTTGAGTTGATAAGTGAGACCCACACTAAACAATACCCGTTGACATTAGCATACAGCTCCACATAATCCCAGGGGGCACCAACCCTCTCACCTCACAAGAAATAATGAGGTGTGAAAGGTTTCACTATTTCTTTAATTATAGAACCAAGATGTGTTTATGGTGTTTTTATCATATGGTTATGAGTAAAATATTGAAGTAACTGATTTGTCTAATAGTGCATCCTCCTGGCTTTACCGAATTTACATTTGCCAGCTCAGCTTGAGTGTCCTATCTATTCTAGAGGCTATCTGGCTAGTTACATGAAAGAGTTCTGCTTGTCCAGAGGCTGTCAAAGGTATCAATCTACAAAGTTATACAAACAATGTATAACACTTCTATATCAGTTAAGCTGGCACACAACACTTCATGAAAGGCACTGAGTGGAGATTCTATTACTGCTCGGGGTATTATTGGCCAGTTGCACTTGTTTACAGCCATCAAACTAGAGGCCAAAGTGTCTGAGTTTGTACAGTCAGCAGGATGCATATTTCCTCCTCACCAGTTGTAGGTGTTCCCGGTGAAACTGGTCTCCTATCAGCTGGAGTTTCTGGCCAATGCAGGCCTCCACACTGCGGGCCACAGGTCGCTGCCGGGGAAGCTGCTCCATCCCGTTGTGCTCCCCTTCGCTTTCTCGTCGCCTCGCTTCCTGATCCCCAACAAGCTCAAAGTGTGCCGGGAAGTGCAATCGAAAACCTGCGTTGCCTGTTGAGTGTCAAGGCCGAGACTTATTATTTTGTCAACACCACAAGTGTTCAGTATAAAAATGGAAGTACAGCAATGACACCTGACAGGGTGGTTTTTTTTACTGTCTGTGCTGATAATGCAAGTAGAAAGAGCAGCCGAGCACTGCTGAACTCGTCTTCAACCAATCGGAACGCTTGGCTTTAACCACAACTTTCCCAGTTGTTGTGTTTCTATTCAATCGAACACTGTGAGCCATTAGAGAGTTTCAAGTCACTCACCCACAACAAACCCACATGACAGATTAGAGGTGAGTCAGTTGTCACGGAGCTACTTTGGGATGATTACTTGTATAAGGCGCCAATGTAACTTTGCTCTCACTGATAATCAGTTCCCTTTACAGCTTACGCAGGTAAGCACTTCTGTCACGTCCTCTCAGTCACAATGCCAGTCTGGCGCCTTTTGAATAGCAAAGCAGCTGGGTACACTCCATACAGACCATAAAAGCCACTGTGATCTTGACTATCAGGCGCCAGGGATGAGATCAGTGCAGCAACATTGTTACCCATTTCTCACATTATAGTTTCGTGCTGGAGTTTTATAACACTGGTTATCACGCACAAGGCAATGTTTCCTTTTTCTCTTTTGAAATACGGTATGTCATCAGCCTCACCGTAGAAGAGTGGTCTGGGCTCCTCTGCGACTCCACACGGCAGCATGCCGTTGTACGGTGCCAGGGCAGGGCCAGGTGTCTGTGTGCCCCGGTCTTCACACTTTATCTCCCGGAATGCGGTGCGCCAGCAGTGGGGGTCCGGCTCAAACACATCATCCTCCTCATCGTCCATACGGGGGCACTATAAGATGAGGCGCCTTAAAAGTAACAGGACAGAGAAATAAAGGTCACTGCTGCAGCTGATTATAGGACATTTGTCTTCCAGTGAGTGTATGAATCATCCCAAGTTTTTACTTCACTAATGAAGGTGACCTTGGACAGGTCTGCATTAGGCCTGATGAGATGAGCTCAGACACTTTCATTATATGTTCATTCCTCCAAAGCATTCATTATAGTTATAGACAACCTGTCTGCTTCATAAAGAGTGCCCTCAAATCAATAAAACCACAGTGGACAAGTTGGGAAGAGAAAATGAGCAACCGGTCTGCCTTCATTTGTGGCAAAGAGCTCAGTGCTTATTTAGACAAATGGCTCTGTTCATCTCAGTGATCAAACCACACAATTCACTGCGGTTAGGAGACTCGGTTGAGCCACAGTTACATAAATGAGAATCTCTGTTGTCTGTGCTAAGCAGCTCTGTGGAAAGGAGCCAGACTTCATAAACAACTGTTCCATGATTACTAATTTATAAAGTAATATCATGTACTTTTACCGCAAAACAATTGCAGGTATTAGTGACATTTACACAGTATGTAAACTTGATGACAGGAACAATAAAAGAAAAGCATGATTATAAATCAATATACACTGTGGCAAGAATCACTTGGGAATATCTCCAGTGTCAATGATGCACTCCTCTCAGCCTTGAATCATACAGTGTGTCAAAGAGTTATCAAAATATGGGTGAAATTCAAGTTGCCTCACCAGCTCACCCCCAAGTCACCATCCAGTTGTAATACAGGGTTAGACTACTACCACACTTCCAAATTAGGGTCCACAGCAAAAGGGTAATGACAGTCTTTGAGGAAAATCCTAAACCGCTCTCTCTACCCTGGTCTGTCAGCGTGCCAGCTCCCTGAGAAGGAGTTTTCATTTCTTCACCCAACATAAGCAGACTGGCCTGCCTCTGGCATGCCCAGACCTCACAATATACTGTGTGCCTTCACAATAAACCCCGTGTGTAAAACCACTTAATGCTTTGTTTTGACAAACAAAGAGTAAGAACATGGAAGGGCTCAGAAAAAAAAAAAAAGAAAAAACATAGGCTCAACTTCCAGATACCAAGGGTTGCTTTCTGTACTGCTCTACTGGCCTGGTAGTGAGCTGAGTGTTTGTGTCAGACAGTGGCTCCCCCTGCTGCAAACAGAATAACCCCAACACAAGACACAAGGGACGGAGGGAGGGAGGGAGGGATGGGGGTGGTGAGGGTGAGGGTGAGGCAGTTCTCTCTTACTGACACAGTTTCAATCCAATGGCATCGAGAGCCTCACATCGCACCATTTCCATTATGCATATCAAGACCTAAAATGACACATGGAGGTCGTTTTTATCCAAAAATCTAGTTAATAATCCGCAGCCTAATAATAATGTCTGTTGTCCTAACAAATATATATATATTTTTTTTTACAGTGATGTAAAATAAAGTTAAAACAAAACACACATTTAGAAAAGAAGAGCCTACAATACACACGTCTTACATGTGTAATTACACGTTTACATGCGCAAACTCGTTGTAATCTATGGCGATACCGGCTGTCACTACATTTCAGTACAGACAGGCACACCGCCGCAAAAAATAACAGCCATGAAGTCCATTCACCGACTGAGCTCTACAAACCGGGAAAGCCGGTATAATTCAAACCTCTGCTGTATGAATGACCGGGCTGAGTTACACTAAATACCGCTTTTATTCGGACTGCCTTGACGCTTCAGTGCGGCGATAAACACCACACATGTCGAAACAAATATGTTGCAGCTGTTTCAACGACAACAGCGGCACGTTGTTTGTTGCTCCTTTCCTAAGGACACCGATGTCACTTATAAACCAGCTGGTGTAAAGTATGTGAACGACATTTAAATGTGTTATTAAGGAACTTACCACACAGGTGGGCTTCGTTGTAATGGCTGTCTTATACTCAGAAAAAAAAGAAAAAAGGGACGACTTCAATATCCTGGCAAATCAGGCGAGTTTAGTCCGTATCGCCTGCACGACTACTTCCATTCTGCGAGGAAAACTGCAAGAAGCCGATTTAATTTCGCGACGTCAGCTCCAAACAGACTCCGCCCGCCCGGGGCGTGGTGCTGAAAGTTAGTAAATAAACCTTCCTTAAAGGCGCGGGTGAGTCTGCCGAACAACTGTGTGCTTGTCGGCCATTAGCGGCGCCTGTCCCTTTAAGGCTGATTTACATTCGCGCGATGTAACCAATCGCGGACTTTGTTTTTATCCCGCCTTCTCCAGCGCGTATTCAGACACGTGGACGGGAAATTCCCCGTAGCACGAGACCTCTTTCGCGCTACCGCCGTGCTCATCTGGTCAGAAACCTGTGAAGTGCTGTCACCAGGAAGCTTTAGGCATTAAAGAGAAACTACTGGAACACCTAAAGGCTACAATGAGCTCATACGTTAAATATCCTCCATATATAAATAATACTAACTCATGAAAACCTCTATGGCTGGCTACATCTTATTATGTTTTTCAACAATATACATCATTTGACTGTTTCACATTTCATTTTATATTTCACACCTAGATGCCAGATTTTTAATGAACAGTATGTTCTGGTTAATTACAAGCAAACTGCTCACTGAGCAACGGTTCTGACTTTTTCTACATTATTATAAGTGGAGTTGACCTAGATCCTGCTGGAAGTGGCCTTGATCTTGATCAGTCTAATTTGGCAGCTGTGGGAGGAAACACATGTATAAGTTGTTTGTGTTACAAAAAATAAAAAAGTTTTTTGACATAAATTAACTGCCACACCACTAACTGTCATTATGGAAGGCTTTATGTCAAAAAGAAGTCAAAAAATGGTCATGCCACCCCCATTTAAACCTTTTTATGTTATTAACAATATTGGGGAGGCAACTAATAAAAAAAGAAACCAAGCTGAATTTTATTAATTTAATAAAGGAAATGATTCAGGTTAACTCTTATTTGTTCATTTTGGTTACATTAGAAACTATTTTAATTCAACTTAGTTTTACTTTATGGCAGTACTGAATGTTGTAAACACGGGCTACAGACAGTACAAACGTCACAAGCATACTACAGGTGCATAAAAAGATCAAGATCTAGACAGTTTTGAGTGATTCCCAATATAACCACAAACATTTTACAGTTCAGATATACAACCATTCCTTTTATTTCTTTGTCATTTACAGTCAGCTCATAGCTTGACAGTTAACAATGTCCACTATGAGTTAATTCTAATTGTCCTCTTGTTATGTTGTTATGGAGGACAGGGCAGTGCTGGTGATCTGCCCCCTCCCCCCTCAGGGCTATCACCGATCAATAAACCCCCGGACAGCTGGAGCTGAGACCGACCCTCTGCATTCTCTCACAGAGCATCACCCTGCCCCCAACTGCTTCTTTCTCTCTCCCTGTTCTTCAGCTGTGATCGTGTCCCACCACTGAGCTGTGTGAGAAGTCACGGGTCCCTGCCTCCTCTGTCCTGCTGGAATTGGATAGACCTCTAGGTTTGGACTTTGGCGCACCTGCGGCCTCTCCAAAAGAGATGGAGATGGACTGTGGAAGAGGGGATTGGTTTCCTCATTCACTGTGATATTGGAAACTTGATCACTTCTTGCATGAGTGACCTCTGTAAACAACAAAAGGCGCAAAGATGTGGGAGCATTAGTTGCTGCTTCCTTTTGTGCTCCAGCCAAACAAAGGAGATCCCCCCTACTTAAGAGACCATCAAGAAAACACCTGTAATTACTAAAGAGAAAGAGTCCTTTTAAGGACATGTTGTTGTCATAGATACTGTATGCAAGTTAAAGCATCCTGTTGAGTCACATAACCTTTTATGGTAATTGGTTACTAAGTGTTTGACTGGTTTATTATTCAAAAAAACCTGAAATGAAATATTAATGAAAAATATAGTATTGATAACACTACATATATCTTAAGAAAACAAACCTAAGTTATTCATTAACATGCATTAGCCCGTGATGTATTAGCATTAGAGAGTAGCTGCAGAAATCATTGGGGCCATAAAGTAGCTCTCAGTGGGACACATAGGCAGGCCTCTGTAACATAAATAATGAATATGGATACATTTGACCACAGCTCTTACCACTAGCCACGAACATAAATTATAAATTCAACACATTGTTTATTTAACTAATTGAGCCATGTCTATAAGAACGTGGAATATGGCTTTGTGTTGATGAAAGACGTGTCTCAAAGTCTGTGAAGTGCACACACACAAATTTCAATTGTGCATCTTATCCAGACAAAACTCTCACTGAAAATGAGAATACATTCACAGAATATGGTGCCTATCAAATATCTGTTAATGTCTCTTCCTCTCTCTTCAATGCACAAACAGTATTATCATTGACTTGTTGTTGCATTGTAGGAAGCAAGTGTTGACAAAGAAGTTCCCATAGACGCATGAGAACCCTGAGAGAGAGATGGCAGGCATCAGTTTGTGTTACATCAGAAAGCTGTTTCTGAAGAGCGATGCATGCACACCCACACACACTTGCAGAAGACACATGCATGTACAGACCCGTGCACGCACAAACACACATGGCTGCACAATCACATGCCCTACTTCCTCTGTAACCTCAAAAGCTCATTCTCCCTCTTGATATCTAATTCTCTGTGTACATGTGCACGCGCATCAATCACAAACACACACCACACACACACACACACAGCCTGTCTCCCACCAAAACATTCACAGCATGTGAATCCTGCCCGGAAACTAGAAAGGAGGGATTTCATTTGCTCCAACTGGACATGTTCCATGGCAACCACATCCTGACAGCGAGCCAGTTAGATGAGACATGTGTGGCACACTGACCCAATGGCAGAGATCATACTGGAGCAGTGACCTGATAACAAAAGGGGGGCTTGCTTTCCTGCCCTCTCTGGCACTCGTCATGTCAACTTCAGCTACAGAAAGCCCTAAAGACACTGTGTAATCTTGTATTCCTGTCCTTCATGTAATTCAGCTTGTATTTAGGGGATTTTCACTTGAAATTTTAACTGGATGTGTTCAGTATCAGGCTCAAAGAATCTGACAGCATCTGCAACCATAAGGTTAGCTATGCACATACATACGCATCCATGCAGGCATCTGTGTAAACCTCCTGTGGAAATAGCCTTAGGTTTGTTATCATCATCAATGTCTGTTGTTTTTTTCAAGTGACCTGGAGATATTCATGCAATATATTACTTGCCTTACCACCCAGATGAGTTGCTTTACATGAATATTAAAATGTGCAATATCCATCTGCCAGTTGCTTTACTATAACTGTTTTTATCTGCTATAGTAGGTAACAGAACAGTCAGAAAACAAATGGTGAAAGTGTTCATTTTTCTATCTGTCTACAGCCCCAAATAGGTCTTCTCGAGTGAAGGCTGATTGAATAATGTAGCAGGTGTAGAGGGGTGGAGTGGGGTAATTTTGTGCTTGAACCTAGCCTCTTTTAGAAATTGCGAAGGTGAGGCTGGTTATAAAGCAATGACACCCGATCTGACCGCCGTAACTGAGAGCACAGACACAAACGGCCACCTTTGTAAGGGCTGTCTGGTAATCATACATCCCTGTCTGGCTGCAGACTAGTGGCCAAACCTCACACTCTCAGTGTGACTGAGTTACAAAGCTCTTTGTTATTCTGGTGGATCAGCCCGAACATAACACACCTCATTCTCAAGAGAGATACAGAAGTAGCCAACTGTGTTTGGTGTGAATATTTCCAAATGCTGTGTGTTTTTTGATCACTCAGTCAATGAGGTCATCATGTCAGTTACTTACTGTAAGGAACATCCCACTTCTTTGTGTCTTTGTGTTTTCAGTATGATGACTGAAGACACCATTCTTTCTTTTTGTCAACAAATCCCATGACAAGACCAAAACCCACAATGAATTATCTGTGTAACCAAAGCTTGATATAGTTTATTCATCTGTGCCATAGGCCTCCATTGTTGTCCAACACCTTTTTTAAATAGTTAAATTCTGTTAACACTGTTAACACTGGGGGACATGTTTCTTCACTATCATAAACGTGGGTACTGTAGTTTCAGTCAATTTCAAGAAATGCCCAGCTGAAAATACTCCCCAACAAATTTGTAAATTTGTGACCTGTTGGACTTAACAGACAAGATAGGGGAGCTGTAAAGTATTGAGAGTCAGAGTAACACATTGTTGGTTCTTGTTTGATTGACTGTTTAACCTTTGAAATCATGTCCGCTGACCCTTGTGATGACTGTATGACTCTAACAACCGAACCACAGTCAGTGCACAGTCTGCATCATGGACTATGTTTATTTCATTCCCCCGTTAATGGCAGTACATGGAGGTTCTCTTCTGTGGGAAAAGAGGACGACTAAGACTCGAAACTATTGTGGCATGTGTAACTGCTCTGTAGATGCTGACCCTTTGCTGAACCAACTACCATTTGATCTTCACTGCAGGCAATGTAGCATATCCCTGCATGATACACTGTAGTTCATATTATAACTGAGATGCACTGAAGTCCAGCAATTCACAGACTGCAGGTGATGCTTTCATGTCAAGCGAGAATAATCAATTGAAAGGCAGAAGCCTGTCTTCGAGTTTTTCCAATATTTTGCCCGTTGGCTACTCGTAGGCAGGAGTCGTCTGGAAAACTCTGGGCTTCACTTAATTAGACTGACTGGTGTGTCAAGCTGTTTTGCCCCTTCTTTGGAGAATATGAGGGTGCGTGTGTGGCTGTGGCAACAGCAGCAACAGCCGTGCACAAATATACACACAATGGATAAGATTGGATAACTGTGTGGGAGAGCTGACCAGTTATCCAGCCCTCACAAAGGCACGCTGTTTAATCTGCTCCACACATTAAAGCCACGGCACCTCAAAGCAGGCATGTCCTAACAGCTGTGGACATGACTCCGTCTCTCTCTCTGAAGTGATGCAGCACAGCGGTGTCCATAGCCATGCAGCAGAGAGGCAGAAGATGAAGACTTGGAGGCTGCTTACTGTGAATGAGTCAATCTCACACTGGGGTTATGACAATCCAAAGAG